ACGGCGAGACGAAACCCACGAACAGCAATTGGAAAACAGCAGCGTTGGCGAATCAGCAAACGGCAATGGTGGTGGCAGTGGGCGGCGACAGAAGTGAGTGGCGGCGGCGGCGACGATGAACAAAACCCTAATGGGCACAAAACCCTAATGGGCACAAAAATTTTAGAAGGAACCTAAAGCTCTGATACCATGTAGAAACTAAGGTCTGAGAGAACCCGATGGATCTCATTCTCATTACTGAAGTCTATATATAGACAAATATACAAGATTGACCTAATCCTAGAAGGGGAAGGTAAAGGACAAATGAATACATATTATTTAAAAGAATGTAAAACATACTAATATATACTCTAACACCCAAACAGTATGGAGGATAGTCGTTTCTGGTCTAAGGAAGCTTCTGGCTCCTTTTCAATGGCATCTCTTTGCAAATCTTCTTCGTCATCTCTTTTGCCACCCGATTTTTATAAGGCTATTTGGAAAACAAAGAGCCCGAAGAAGGTCGGGTTTTTTGTTTGGATCATCATTAATGGAAGATTGAATACAGATGAAGTTCTTCAAAGAAAGCTCTCGGTTTTCTGTCTACAGCCATCAATGTGTATGTTTTGTCAAGAAAGCAGGGAGAATCTGATCCATATATTCTTCCAACGTCCTTACGCATTGCACTGTTGGTTCTTGTTATTTAAAGAGTTCGATCTCTCCTGGATAGCAGTGGATAATATCCTTCAACTACTCCTAGGCCCAATTCTATCTTCTCAAAGTAGCTTGTTGTGGTCAAATGGTGTCAAAGCCTTGCTCTATGAAGCTTTGGTATGAAAGAAATCTCAGAATTTTCAAGGATCATCGCAAATCTTCATTGGATCGTTCCAGTTTGGCTAAATTCAAATCTTCACAGTGGAGCTCTTTGTCACCTTTGTTCGAAAACTTTTCTCCCTCACTTATTTGTTACAATTGGGGAACTTTTACTTTATCTCTTAATGTTTGAGCTTATCTTGTTTTTTCCATTTACTTGTAATTCTCTTTTCTTTTCACTCGTTCGACAGTTTGTATCTTTGAACATTTTCATTCCTTTTCATTAATTCAATGAGAAGCTTGTTTCTTTTTCAAAAAAAAAAAAAAAAAGATTAAGCGTGGGATAAAGAAAAATTACAAAAGAGGGTTTTGGTCAAGAGATTGTGTTAGCAGCCTAGCAACTTTGTTCCTGGTACTATAATAAAATAAATAAATAATAAGGTTGGAAAAGAATGCAAAATGGAGGATGAATAATTGCCTCGTGGCAGCGTGGTTTTTAAATCAGTGATGAGTGAATTATTATTATTATTTTTTTTTTAATTAGATGACAATAAATCATCAACTAAAATTCAGTGGCTCATTTACTTCCCAGTGCAGAAAAATTTTCAGCTTATTAATAAAAGACCAAAAAAAATTGACAGAAACCTTTATTAAATTATGAGGGTTTTTTAGTCATGCAGGGACAAGTTTACATCTTTTTTTCTTTCGTTCCTAATAAGAAAGGATCACTCCATTGAAAACAAGAGAGGATACAAAATTATAGGCCGGAAAAAAGGCACTCCTGCCAAGGAAAAGGGGCCTAAGCCCCTAATTGATTTGAAAATAAGTATTTGAGATAGAAAAATTGGGTTCTACTAGGCTAGGATTCCTAATCCTAAGAAGCACAAACATGGACACGTGATTGAGACACGACTATACAACACGAACACAACGACATGTCAATTTCTGAAAGAGTAGGACATGACACATTGGGGACACGTTAATTGTCATGATTTTAGTTAATAGTTAAATAAAAATTATATATTTTTTAATTTAAATATTATTTAAAAATCATAACATATATATAAAAGACCTTTCAATTAAAGAAACGGCTTTTAGGTTTTATCCCTTCCAATGTGCCCCCTCCCCCATTAAAAATTGGGCCAGCTGGCAGCCCATTTACCCATTAAAAAAACAAATTTTTACCCTCCAAATGTGCCCCCTCCTCCTACCTCTAGCCCTAATTTTCTCGACAACTTTGTAGTTCGTGTGAAGGAGGTTGGGAGTTATGAGAAAAACAGAGCAGTAAGATGTTGGTTTCAAGATCTTCAAATGTGTTAGATGTTCAAAGGCTTCATTCGTTATTGTCAGATGAAGAGCCTCTTCGATGAAGAGCCTCTTCAAGGGTTTTGATCTGATAAAATAATAGTTGAATCTGAAGTTTTGAATGAAAATACAGAAGACAACCCAAATGTTCCTCCTATTTTGAAAAACATTTCACCAAAATTCATGTCTAAACAAGGAAATGAACCAAGAAAAGAATCTCAGCCTTTCGAAGGTGTCAAGGAAAACAAGACAACGGACGATCTGATTGATAGCAGTCCTAGTTTTAACCCTGATTTACTGCCGCCAAAGACTTCTATTCCTACCCTTCCATTTTTTTATTCGAGAAAAAAGAATGACTCGCCGAGATTAATAAAGGAAAGAGGAGGGGATCCATAAGGGCAATTCACCTCTCAGCCATGGTATCATTAACTCAACAAGTGAGCAGTCAAGTAAATACTTCAAGGATTACGTTTGTCTAATGATGATGAAGAATTCAAATGTTAGTGTCAGTAGTGAGGATTCAGGAGGATCTTTGGAAGATCAAAAGGTTGTTAACGAAGATTATCAAAGGTTTTCTTTACAGAGGATTTTAATTTACCTTTTGCAAAGGATAACGACCACTTACACTCTTATGGAAAAATGGATACCTTGCTTTCTCCCTCGGGAACAACCTTTTGGTAGTTGAAAAGGCTTCTTGCACTGATAATTAAAGTTTTTTTAAATATTTTGAAGATGTAGGCATTACCCAAGTTCCAATCACTGAATAGGTATGCTTTAATTAAGAGGCAATAGGTTTTTGGCTACTTCCGCTTTGCAACAGTCTTGAGGGTTGAGATCTTTTAGTTTTCTTGTCTTCTCTTGGTGGAGGGAGGTTTCAGATTCTTTACTTCTTCATTCTGGCGGTCAGTTGCTTCAATTCTCATCTATTACCTTGTATTTTGGTTTCTTTGTTTGGTTGTTTTTCTTCTTTTTTTCGCTTCCTTTGGAGAGCTTGTATCCTTCAACTTTTTTCTTCTTTTTCATATTATCAATGAAAAGTTTGTTTCTTGTTAAAAGAAAAGTAAAGAAAACCTAATTTTCATTTCCTAATGTTGCGCTCTCTTTTTCCCACTTAATAATCTCAATCCTAGTTTTTATCCATTTCCTCACAACCTGCTGCCTTCTTCTCGCCTCCTCTCCTCCTCCTTTCTCAACGCTGCCACCACATTTTCCTTCTTCTTCTCGTCTCATTTTTCTTTATCCTCTTCTTTTGCATTCGCCTCCATTATTTCTTTTCTTCTTCTGCGCTATGTTCTTCTTCTCTTCTTTTGCGTTTCTTCTTAGCTCTCTATATTGTTCTTCGCCAACTCTCAAAATGTTGAGGATGTGTCATCATTCAAGTGACTAAAAGTCTCGCTTTTCTATAAGTTCTTGAATCAGATGATCTAATTTGTTCCATTATGTACATTACGATTCAGAAGATCGCATGTCCCCCGCCATGTCTCTAGCATGTCGCCCGAGTGTCCAAAAAATAAAAAATATATTTGGACACGCTAATTAGCATGTCAGACACGTGCCGGTGCTTCCTAGTCTTAATCTATTCTTTACTACTATGGGTTAACAGACTCAAAGCTATCCTTTTTAGACTTTTTTTTTGGAGAACAATCAACGAATTTTCAAGGATAAGTACCATAGTTGGCTGGATCAGCTTGAGTTTGCTAGACTACGTGCTTCTCAAATTGCTTATATATTTCTCCTTATAGGACATTCATTTAAATTTGGATGCTTCATATACCAAATTTAGATTTCCATTTTCTAATTTTCCACTCCATTTTGGAGTTTTTATCTTTGAAAAAATATTTTATTTCTTTTCATTATTTCAATGAAAGATTTTGTTTCATGTTCAAAAAATAGAAAGAGAAACCTAGTAAAAGGATTCATCAAAGTAGTAGAACCATCAATCATCCTAGTATGTCCAATCGACTTTCCAGAGTATTGGTCATAAAAAATACAGAAAAATTAAAATAAAGTAATATCCTCTGCATTTTGTTGCAAAAACGCCTGAGCAAGTTGAGGCGCACTTGAAAAGGGCAAAATCAACCGAGGAAAATGAGGGACTACGAGATGTGTCAAGAAACAAAGTACATGCTCAGAGAAAATCTAAAAATCTTTCTCAAGAAATGTCTATAAAGAACACTTGGATAGTTGACCGTAAGGCACCAATCACATGATAAAAAGTAGCTGGAATTTTTATCTCTCACAAGCCCTACTTTACCCGTGGCCGTGACAAATTAAAATAAGAGACAGTACTTTAATTGAAAAAAAAAATATTGACATGGCTCAAATAGTAGTCCATTTAATTTCATTAAGAAGCTAATGGAAGATTTAAATTGGAACATAAGGAAAAAGTTTAATATCCTATTTGACAAGTGTGTGTCTATATATATATTGAACAAGATATGAACTTTTATTGAAAATATGAAAATGAACCAAAAAAGATACAAACTCCTAAAGGAGTGAAAAAGGAAAACATTAAAAGCAAAAGAGGGAAAGGACAGGGATTGAAAAGAAGCAAAAGGGCAAAAGCCCCTAGAGACAAGACAAAAAATAAAAGGGAGTTATATATATATATAATTAAACAGTTTAAAATTTAAAGGCACTACCTGTTGTGACCCCACAAAGGCAAGGATGAGGAGACGCGATCAACCCAATGATAAGCTCCAATGCTAGAAGAAAGGAAATTCCATATTCAACCTTTATACCACTATTTAATAAAAAATTATGCAAACAATTTCGTAGTATGCTGAGTAGAAGAAGAAAATGTCAACAACTTGTTAATATGTCAACAACGTGTTGTTTTTGAACAAGATACAAACTTCTCATTAAAATAATGAAAAGGACAATAATGTCCAAATAAAAAAACTCTCGAAAGAGTGAAACATGAAAAAAATAAACAAATAAAAACCTAACAATTAACGATAAATACATCCCAGTTGGAGCAAATCATGCTAGGGGAATAATTCCTGTTATAGGAGGAAAAAAACGAGGCGGACCCAAATTGGGCTAGGTCGAGCAGGGCTCGACTCCGAGCCGGGCTCAGCCCATGGGCCAAGCCCAACGCTCCCTATTCCCTCCGTCATCCACTATAAGCCTCCTTTCCTCCCCAATCCTCCTTTCCTCCCCAATCCGTTACAAGTCATGTGGTGAAGAAACCCTAGAAGAGCTCGAGCAACTATAAGTAAAGGGGAAAGCAAACCCTAGAGGTAAGCTAAAAAAAAGAGACTAGCTACTTCACACAAAGTTGCTTCGTTCATTGCGCTGACTTTAGCATCGGAGTTCATGTGACTAAGGTCGCACCGGTTTAGACTAATCTGATTTTGCAGGTCCCTGATCATCGAGTTGTTGCAGATCCCGAGGCAATTTAAATTGGAATTGTCCACGCATCAACAATTCCTAAATAATTTCGATAAAGAACACCATTGAGAAGTCTTGAACTTAGCTATATTGAAGCACACTAATGATGATTGCTCTTGTCTTCAAACACTCTAGAGTTCCTTTGAACCATATCTCGTAAAGCATGGCCTTAATAGCATTAAGCCACAAAAGATTGGCTTTAGAATTCAAAGGGGGCCCGAGGAGAAGCTGAAGGACATTATCTGCTGCTATGTTGCTAACTGTCGATGACATATTAAATTCCTCAAAGATTAGTTGATGTGATCATAATTGACCTAAAGTCCTTGGAATCAAGTCAAGCCAAGAGGAGAACTCGACCGCACACAAAATGTCCACAACGTGCACACTTACGCCACCAACGATGAGTTAACCTAACAAGACCCACGCGCGCCCTTGTCGTGCCCGCAGGATCCAGCCCGCGCCCCCACCTG